ATATATTTATTTATTTATTTATTTTATTTTTTTCTATATACATCTATATTTGAAAAAAAAACATGATTAATTTCACATTTATAGTGTACATGAGACAATTATAAATGATTTGAAATTATATCTTAATGATAGCTTGCATCACTTACGCCTTAAGCCTCCATACAACTCTGTATATTCGTGAATATTTACGATAGATTGATCATAATAAATGACGAATTTAAATTCAAAAATCTATAGTATAACATGAAATAAAGAAAGCATAATGAGAATCACATAATTTTATCATCAAAATTATAAGTTATGGAAGGTAAAACCTTCATAATATAAAAAAAGAATTGAAGAAAAAGATAAAAATTACTTGCCATTGGCTGGTCGAGATGGGTGGACGTTGGAGAAGGTGAGTCGGGCAAATAAGTATTTCTGTAGGCTGAAGAGGATGGGAGCTAAGGTGAACTGATCTACGAGAAAATGACTGGCGATGACAAGAGGCAAGCCAAGCACTTGAGCAACAAGGGGGGCAGAAGAAGTGGGGCCCGCCTGAGAAACAATGGATCCCAGCGAGGAGGTGACCACTAGAGCAACGAGGGACAGGTGAAGAGGTTAGGGAAGACAACAATTTGCACATTCAAGATCATAATAATATTCAAAATATGGAGAAAATGTTGTGGTCATTTGTCCGATGTGCAAATGATGGCGTGGATCGTATTAGAAGTTGTGCATCCGGTAGCGCGGTGTGATTCATATTGGAAACTGCACGTCCGATTTACCAGATGTAATATTAAACTTCAACAACGAAATACATCGACGACTCATCATCTAGGGTTTCTATGAGCTAATCAAACTTAGCTTCACACTTCATACTTACACAAATATTAAGATTAAACATTGAAACTAGCTAGCACCACAAACACGTATTGCTAGCTATATACAGACTCCATACTCATAAAACAATTAAATAAAATAAAAACACTAAAATAAAAAAAACTTTGTACAAACCATGCATACAGCCTTACCACCCTAACTATATCCTCATATCAAGCATCTCTAACCTCAAAAACATTGCGGCTCTTGACAACGATGTCATACATATGAACAGTGGTAAGCCTAGAGAATTCTCTGGGGAGGGAGATGAGATATACTGAGGAGCGCTTGTGGAACTGGACGAGTGAGGAATCACCTGGATATCGCTCCCAACCGAGCTCCCCAAGCTTCTCCTCCAGAATATCATAGGAGCTTATCACCTTGTTGGTAGGGAGATGAACCAAGACCTTACGACGGCTTCCTCCGGCGAGACCGTGGCCGTCACCTTGCTCGCCGCCAGGGTTCTCAAGGCGAATCACTCCCTTCTTAAACACCCAAACACCTGACATTTTTTATTTTTTGGTTTTCGTTTTTCTTTCAAAATTAGAGTTTTGGGTTTGAATTGTCAAGCCTTTGGAAGAAATTTATATGGGCAGTAGTCTTGGTTGAGGAGTTGATTTTGTTCCAATGGGAATGGGTAAGGTGGGGTTAAGGAAGTGATTTTACTAAAATTAGTTTTAGTTTTTTTATTATTCTTACTCTTTGAAAGCAAGGCTATTCATATTTCGTTGTCCGGGACCAGTTACATTTGTTAGGGTGCATCGTGCTGCCGTGGGAGGGAGGGGAGAAATAAGCTAAATCTAGAATATTTTTGTTTATTTTGTTTTACCTTTTTATTGAATTTTTTTTATGGTAAAAATTATGGAGCATTGTGTTTATTAGTTATTTGATAATTTATATTTCACTTGGTAATTG